TCTGGCTTCACAAAACTGAAAGATCTTTGTGTCAGCCTGAAGCGGGCTCTAGAGAGGAGTGGGTGCCTGCCTGGTCTGTGATAGTGCTAACACTGATCTGCCCACTGCTACTGCTGTGGTTTGCTTTTCTGTGTAACACCAGGGCTAGTCCTTTTGCTCATGTGAGGAATCATCGGACTTATAATACCTGGCAGAGCAAGGATTTTGCAGGAGGCTTCTGGATACTGCTACACAGAGCTGCTAATGCTTTAGGCTTCTTTTTCCTCGTGCTTCCTCTAATACCTGGAAGCAACTCCCTCTCAGTACTGTTTTAAGCAGTGGGGATGAACTCCCTTAGCAGCAGCTGCTCTGATTTTCTGTCTAGTCCTATACTGTTTCTAAAGGTGCCAGGTAATTACTCAAGACTGAAAAATCTATGTCAAAGCAATCAGCAGTGTCACCTCATTGACTTCAGAGAAATTGCAACAGAAATTAATCTGAATCTACAATTCTTCCTTTCTGTAGCAAATGGTAATAACCTATGTAACCCTGCCTGCAGGCAGCAACAAGCAAAAGACCACTCCAAACGCATGTGGGGGGGGCTTTGCCACTCTGAAGTGCCACTTTTTCCCTCAAATCCTCCCAGACCTGAGGGTTAATGCTAGCAGTTGAACTGAAGAAGCAGTACATGGAGATGCCCCTCATCTCAGACAACGGATGCAAGAGGAGAATTCATAATATCACTGTTCATTCTCCTCTTTCCCTGTCCATATACAGAGATAGGCATCAAGGGTCAGCGCTGGAATTAGGGTCAGCACATACACAAAGAGAAGTTTTACATCTGAACTTGTGGAAATGCACATAGTCTGCCTTGCTGTCTGGACAGCGTACAAAAGAGCGGGGAAGGATTTTAGCAGAGAGCTTCAAACCATATGTAAATAGATAATTAACCTTGCTCTAAATGATATTTCAATTTTGCACTTTATTTCCCCCAGAGATCTTCATAGTCTATCCAAAACAAGACTGTTGAAAGAAAGAGAAGGATGGAAAAGGAACTGTTGTGGTGGATGCTGGTTTTACAGAACAAGTTTGGAAACTATGTGCAAATAAAAAAAAAATTCTCCTGGAGCAGAGGGGCTTGTTCACCATTTATCTCATGTGTTTACCCTTGGGCTATCATTATATTAGCAACATTTCCCGACTGAGCTGGAGCACCTGGTAACTATAGTAACCACATTTTCATATCTGCCCATAAATTCCCTTGGTTCTAATTAGGGCACTCATTTATAACAGTGATGACAATATGGGAAATGTAACTGCAGACTTAGCTCAGCCACAGTCACCTCTCTCTCCCCTGTGTTGCAGAAATGACCTAGATCATAGTTGCTCTTACACCATAAGATTTTCCTTATGGCATACAGCCTAACTTACCTGCAATGCCAAGAGTTTTATATCCACCTGCTACTTTGCCCATCTCCCTTTCTAAAAAGTCTGCTCATCTACCATCCAGTTCAAATGAAACCTGACTCGTCTCCTTGCCAGCAAGCCTCACACACCAGGTTGCATAAATGCATTTTTCTTGATAGAAAGAAGAATTCACACCTAGCCTACAACAGAAATCACACACACAGAACTACCCCAAATTTTATAAACAGGGTGTGGATGCTATTTTAAGCAGAAGGGCTACACAGTTCAACTCACAAATCTACCATAGGAATCTAGATGGCTAAGAAGACAGAATAAACCATATCACTTAAAACAAATGACAGGAAAATGAAGAAGAAGAAATGTGCAAGAAATCAAGACCAAGTAATAAATAATTGCAAAGGTCAATGGCTCAGGTATTCCACCACAAATTATTCCTTTCTCCATGAAACAATAAAACCTGGTGAACAAGTTGAACTCTGTTGACATGATTTAAAAAGATGGATGAGCTGGTAGGTAGTTGAGAGTGTTTGTTTTATTGTTCACAGAGTCACTGTTTAGAAGTACATTTCTTTTGGAGTCTGTGTGAATTATTGTCAAAAAATGACAGATCTCTCACTTAAGGCTACACTTGATGACTTAACATGAATTTCTTTTGCTAAAAGAAAAAAAAAAAAGACGTCACTTTTGTGTATTAGCATCAGTAAAACAGCAAAGCTCCTCTCAGCAGAGATCAAGAGAGAAGATCAACCCTGCTTTAGCTTCAGGTTTTGGGGGACTTGTTGCCATTGGAAAATTTCCCCTTGCTAGAAGAGCATGTCAATTAGTGTAACTTAAACATGGCTGTTGATAAGAATATCTCATCTTGAACATTTCTCCACATTACCTCTCCAGGAGGCTGAGGGAACTGGGCAAGCAAACGTATTGGAGATTCTGTTGTTGTCATTTCCACTTCAGATTAATAAATATTTTACCAGTTGCCCTGCTTGTCTTTCCAAAGTAGCAAGCTTTTGTGGCAGGGAAAGAAATGACAAGCCCATCAGTAAGCTCATGTAAACGGTGTTAGTTCACACTACCAAGGCTTGATGGCAGACCTTAGTCAGGCTTTCTGGGGCCAGATGAGCCTCAGCAGGTGTAAAGAGTGCCAATCTGGTTATTAACAAGCAAAAAATAAGACTGCATCTTGCATTAGAAGGCTATCCACATTCCTACAACCAGCATCAAAATTCAAGGACACATTCATGCTCACTTGGGAGGTATTTCATTGAATTTTTGACATTGAGATCCACTGGCATAAGATTGGATCCTGCAGCTATGCTCTCCCATTCCTGTATGCCCTGCTTACAGTCCTAGTGATTACTAGAATGAATGGCCCCTCATTGGCCCAAAGAAGTGCTACCTGCCATTGGTGAAAGCCAGAATACGTAACTGTCTAATTCTTCATCTGGTTTCCACTAAGGCTTAAAGTGCCCTAGGCAGAGTTAAGGGAGGCAGCCTGAGGCAGTGGGTGTAAAAAGCAGCATCTCCCAGGTCAGGAAGTGCAAGGTGCTTTGACAACCAACAGACTGATGCAGATGCACACAGAGACCTCAAGCTTTCCTTCTTAGACAGCAAAAGGACCTTCCACTGGCTTATCTATTGTCTTCAGACACTCGATCCACAGCTAACGTACACTGAGAAAGATCCACAGATTCAGCTGAATCAGCAAGGTTGCCATCCTGACACCTACCTAATGGCTTTTCTTAATGTTCAGATGAGCCTGGAAAATTTTCACATTGATTATTGCAGAAGCAGAAATATTCTTTGTAGGTAGGATTTGTTCATTCCAAGCTATTTTATTGCTTTCTCAGTTCTTTACACCAGAGTGAACAGTGCTGTTGATAAGAAAATGTAAACTTCAGTGAACTGCCAAAGAAAGATTCTAGTTATTTGCCAGTTTAGTCATCAAGCACGATTTAGAAGCGTGGATGGAAAACATGTTGACGATCACATTCTAATATAAGCACAGAAATTGATTTAAGATGCTGCCAAATGCAGAGCACAGTAACATTCAATTCCACATATATGTTATTTCACAAAATTAGTAAAAAGTAATTTCAGCCTCTGCCAGACTGGGTTAATTTTTGAAGCACACCTCAGTCCATAAGATGCTGTTTGGGACTAGAGAGGATGGTAGCCTGCTACAAGTTGTGTCACTCATTACTGTACCGTCATTGCTCTGTCAACCTCTTATTGATTTAGGCTTAGACTGTTAAGACAGATGTGTGTGTGTGGTATGCATGACACATAACGAGGCTCCACTCTCTAAGGGAGCCTCTAACATTGCTCATAATACTTAGTTACCGGCTCTCCTCATTTTCATTGTGAGCAAACTTTCTCAAATTGCCAAAATCCTTCCAAATGATCACACATTAACTACTACTGACCACAGTACATCTTGGCTGATTAAATACTATAAACCAAAATGTGAAAAATAAAAATTACAGGATTCCTCTAGTCAAGCAAAGTAAGTCTTTGACATACATAAAAATAATTATCCTGAAAAATGCAAATTAAAATTAAGATTAAATAAACACTTTCTACTTTCTCTCTGAAGCTACCTTCACTCTAAAGACAACCGTTACCTGCTATAATGTATGACTTGCGAGACACTCACATAAGATTAAGCATTTCTTGGTAATCGCCTGGAAATGGTACCAATGACAGTTTGTTCTCATTGAGGGCAAATAATGCAGAGAGATTGTTACAATTGTATGTCTGAAAGATTAAATCAGTTCATTTTGGACATATTTTTCCTCTCTCTAAAGATGCAAAATTCTGTAAGTGTTGGCAGGAAAGAAATTTAAACTTATATGCATGAGTACACTAGGAACTAATTTGAAATGACCACTATTTCTACTGTTCTTTAGCCTAATTAGTGCTGAGAAGGAAACAATTGTTCCAGTTTGTGGGATTTTTTGAGGTTTTAGTGGTTTTCCCTTCCAGTTCTGCATCATGTGAAGCACAGTACTTTTTACTGAAGTCCTCTAAAAAGAAAGGAAACATCTTAGAAAGCTGTTGCTTGGAAAATGAATAGGAAGAGTAGCATTCCACTGCAGAATAGCTACCAGATAAAGAATTCCTTCTTGGAAAGGGAAGTCCACATGTCTAATCCTTGTTTCATATTTATAAGACTACTGCACTGGGTACAAACGAGGGAGGCAGGTGCTCGCCTGGAGACACGCTTTCAGACTCCCAGGCAGAACTGTCATGTCTCCAAGCTCTATGACACATACTATTTTTCACATAAGATTCATCTACTGAAAACATACATGCTCCAGTCTGACTCAGATTCTCTGAAGCAAGCATAAAACCAGTCTGCACAAATTTCATTGTTTTAGTCCTCTGTACCATGTCTGCTTTAAATTTGCCCGTCACATCTGCTTTACCTTTGCCCAGTTAACAGAACTGTCACCCCAGCTTGGCTCCCTTTGCTTTTCATTGGGACTTTCCTTTACTATCTGGGAAAGCTATGGTTAATCACAGGAGCGCAGATCAATTAAGGAACTCTCCTAATAGAAACTGATGACAGCATAAAACACCACAGCAGTAACTAGCATAGTTTTAGCTTATTTCAAACTGTAGGTCAATGAGAAGAAAAAAACGAAATAGTTTGGTCTGTAGATGCGGTTATTCATAAAGTATTCCAGCCATTTCCTTTTGGAGAAGGAAAGGTAGAGAGGTAGACGTATTTGTGATAAATTTAAGCGCCACAGTTGGCAATCTTGCACACTCATTTAACATTTATCTGCAGTTTGCCTATTACGTCAGATTTCCCCTAGATTTGCATAATCTATTTTGAATTGATTTGAGGGAATGAAGAACCGCAGTGCTACATGAATCAGATGCTTTATTATGGCTAGAATCAGGAAATGTCTGCTCCCATCAAAATACTTTCACTGGAAAGCACCACTCTATTTAGTGCCTATACTAAATTTAGCAAAGGCCATTCAATAACATTAAATTTTCTTCCTTTTGTTACAAGAGAAATACAACGGACTGGGAGGATGAATTAAATAAGAGGGATAAAAACAGATTATTATGTTTCAGTTTTTTTGCAAAAATCCCCCACACCAAAGATGACTAACAGCAGGGAAATCCTTCCCTCCACTAGTAGGATAGGATTTGCATGAGGTTGCCATGAAAGCAGGTTAGCTATCTGTATCTCTACAAAAAGGAGAATTTATCCATTGTGTTTCCTAAAGGAAGACACCCTTCATTTTACAGAAAACTTTACACACACCTGGATCAGCCAGCCAGATAATGCCAAAAAAGAAGCAGGTTTTATAAATAACTGAAGAAGTTTGCCATCTGTAGATGCTGGAAGTAAGAGATGAGTACAAACCCCATCCCAGTAAGCAAAAAGAATACAAAGGGTTATGCCAGACCATGAGGGATGCACACAAGATAGCCACTGCCAACAAAGCAATCCACAGAGGGTTGCTTCTCTTTTCCACTCACCACAACATCAGTTTACAAGCAAACAAATGGAAAATGCTCTAACATGTCAAAACAGAATACAAAAATTCAGCTTGAAGGGATCTACAGAGATCATCAAGTCCAACTAACTGATCACACTTCAGGACTTGCAAGCTCTATTATTTTCCTTGTCTTCAGAGCTTTCAAAAATCATGGGTCAGAAAGGAAAATGTATATACAGGAACCTTACATGTATAAAACACTGCATACAGAAACCAGCTCAAGTTTGCGGTTTTCAGGGGCTGCTGGAACAAACACCAGTAGATACGTAGAAGCTCATTTTGAATGATTTATGGCAAACAACATTCACTAGAATTTTTCCTCCTTTCTCTCATTGACCATTGAAAATCAGAGTAAACATGCAAGTCCAATTCCACGCACGCTTTTTGGCTGGCTACAATTTTTCACAGAGTTTTAGACATTTTTAAAGTAATCATTTGTACTCACAATGTGCTACATCTAAGCTGCATGTGTCTTAAATATCTGTGTCACTCCTCTCCAACTGGAAGACCGAAACTTCCATAACACAAACAGGCAGATCTGTGAAGAAGCACTGCAAGAAAACAAAAAAAATCGGTTGGCAACTGGTTTCTAGTTTTAGGTGATACTGATGAGGTCTTCTCCAAGGGATTACCTATAATAAAATAGTTAGATTAAGACTGCCAAAGCATTACAAACTTCAAAGGAGTTGTCCCTGCTTCTCACATATAAAACTGTCTCTAAAATGGTTTATAAGCTGTTCATACCACCCCATGCTGTTCATACATGCACACACACATTCATAAATACTAAGAGATTTTTTCAGTGTACCATGTAAATATTTGCTGTTTGATTGTTCTTGTAAAAAGAACAACAAAGATTATTGTAAAAAAATAGTGCACATAAATATTTTTGGATTTTTCAATGTATACCTATCAATAAATAAACAGAATGGCTTTCCACTGCAAAATCAGACCATTTACAACATTTATAATACAGTTTTAACTTATTTTTCCATCCTTTGCTTTCTTAACAGATTGTTTACTTCTCCCAAGTGAAGCCAAAACATAACTGTAGGGGAAAAATGCAGCATACAAAGAAAAGACTCTTTCTGTTATTAGGTCTTTTTCATTGGCAACTCTCCATGTGTTTTCATCTGTGAATTTTCTAAGGTAATGGCCAATCTCCAGCCATGTGCTCAAGTAATAATTTCATGATAAAACTAATCTTTCCAATAAATAGCTCTCTGAAACACTCTATTTTTCATTTTCAAAGAGCCAGAAGGATTATGTTAGTGATTTGGATATCTATTTTTCTAAAATTGCCCTCCAAGTCTTCCTTATTCTAATGTAATGCTCTGAATCCTTAGCAAATAGGAATTGCATCTAGAAGAGGAGGAAAAAAAAACACAGCAAAAACAAACGTATCCTTAGAAAATCACCAATGCAAGTAGTTTCATTCCCTGTACTAAAAACCATTTGAAAACTAATCTACTGCATATACTTTCCTTTCAGAAAATGTAAATTGATCTTTCAGTTTGAATACCTGTCAAAGCACAACCACTATAGTGTTGATAAGTCATGTTGCTCATCAGTTGATAACTTCTGATACACCACAATCTTGCACGTAGCTCCAGAAGAATCGTTGCAACAGACTGCACTCAAACCACAGTGGAGGATGTTCTGCTTTAGAAAATTTGGCACCAGTAAGAGCGATGAGTTTATTTCTCCTATCAGCACCTCCTGAAGTGGAACAAGAGCACATCACAAATAAAGGCAACTAAAGGAATTATATTGAAACAGACAGATTTTTTTATTTTTATTTTTTTTCCTCAGCATAAGGCAATTGCTTTTATTTGACATATGCACACCTACACAGCCCACACAGCAATTCATAGTACATCTGCTAATACGTTAGCTTTACTGGGACATTCTGAGGCCTACTTTTGATACCTTGATATTTAATACTCACTCCAGCAAAACTGCCTGACTGCATACCCTTGGAAGAACATACTCAGATTTTTATTTATTTAATTTTTACAGACTTACGATACCATTTTCTAGTTCAGTCAGTGTCTCTAAAGTTTTGTATATCTCAGTGGGAATTAAGGACTGCAAGCTTTGCTCACAGACTTCTGTAAGCACCATATTTGCCCAAACTATCTACTACCTCCAAACTATTCCTGGCTTTCATGCTGCTTCCTTTCTAGTGCGGTCACTACTCCATATGTTGTGCAAGTCTCACTTTTAATTTCTGCCTGATACCAGTGGATTAACTCAGTGTCCTCCAGCTAAGCCACCTTTCAATCCCTCTTAATTGTTTTGGAGAAAGTGCTGCTTCCTCCAGAAATCCTCCAGTCTCAGCAACCAATTGCTTCCTTTTGGCTAAAAGAAATGCTCATCCTTGCAAGGTAAAAGCCACAGGTCAAGTAACAGCAGTGTAATAAATCTTCATTTCCTGCGCAATCCCCTGAAGGTGATCAGTAAGTCACACGTGGGCAGGTCCTCACAGAAAAACTAATTTAAATTTTAACTCCTTGATTCCCATATACAAGCATCTTGATTGAACATAGAAAGGTGCTTGTAAATCTTGTGACTGGTGCAGAAGGACCTAAAAGATTTATTTTCAGTGAGCAGAACTCAGCCCCAGCTAGGAAAGGAATCCATCCTTGGATTCTTGGAGGCTTCCCTTCCTTCACTAATCCAAAGAGTAGAATACATGCAAACGCTAGCAGTCAACTTTCTGACGGAAATGAAAGACGCTTTGGAGAAACCTGTAAGTGGATATGGTGGTCTTGTTCCTAACTGCAATCAAAGGTAAATAGCTCTACATTTCTAAATGCAGAAAGGAGTGCTGGCAAGCCATGCTAACTTTTCCTTGTTTGTACAAGGCACTTGAAAATATTTAGAGGGAACATAAAAAGGTAAGACTTTGCAATGCTCCAAGTGATCTAAAGAGGCAGCCAAGGAAAATACACAGCTTGTTGAAAAATTAGCAAGTAAATTTGAATAACATCAGCCTAAGTGATAATCTCAATGGATTAGGCAGCATTTACTCTTTAGAGAAATCTGAAACTTCACTGTGTTGAAGGAAGTCTGCCAGCTTTGTCATTTAGCAGAGAAAGAGGACAGTGGGTTTTCATTTGGGTAAGAAAAAGATCTCACATCTATTTGGCTAGTGCAGTGAAGACAAAAGGCTTTTTAATGCAAATGTTACAGAAAATACTAGAAATGACTGCAATTCAGTTCTTAGACATTATTGGTTTACTTGTAGGTTTACTCAAAAAGTCTGTTCCAGGTTGTGGACAATGCCTGTATCAATGACATTGCCTATCATGCTGGAAAAAAAAAAAAAAGGGAAGCTTCAGAAGGGCACAGTTGGTTATCTGCTGTTCTTTTTGCCTTTTTTTTTTTTTTAAATCTCATTTGCTTATTTCTAAACATATGACCTGGCACTCAGCCTGCCCTCTCCTCAAAAGTTAAAGATGAAGACTTCTGTATAGTCTGGGCAATGAAAACATTGGCTTTGATTTTAAAGGCTGTTGCAGTTTAACTCAACAGGTGGCACAGCACCACACAGTTTTTTTCTCACTCCTTTCCCTCCCAGAGCAACAAGGGATAGAATCAGAAAAGAACAAAGTAGAACTTGTGGATTGAGATAAAAACTTTTTACTAAGATAGAGAAAATAAAAAGGGCAAAAGAATAATAGTTATGATAATAATATATGTGTGAGTATATATATACACTACAAAAAAACAAAAAAAAACAAGGGAAGCATAAACAGTTGCTTACCACCCACCAACTGATGCCCAGGACATCATGAGAAGGTGAGAAACTGAAACATCTTTGGCACTGCACAGCAACAACTAAAAACAACGGTATGTTTACCTAAAGTCAAAACATAGCATCAGGTACTATGAAGGAAAAACCAACTCCATCCAAGCTGAAACAGGGACAGTGCTGGGAATTCGCTCTGTGAGCAGTGCACTTCCTCTGACTTCATCTAGTTTGAGGCAATACCTTGAGTAATGCTGGGATGTGGGCTCCTTCCAGGAGCAGTGAGAAAGGATGGTATCTCCAAAAGTGGGAGTCCTCTCATTTAATGAGTGTCTAGACCTTTCTGCTGTCTATTTGAGACTGCTTACAGGTCTAATGGGACTTTTAGACTAACACAGCAAGGTGAGATAAGTCCCCCAAAATACTTTCCAAGGGATTCTGTTCTGCATATTATTCACCACACCTATTTCTCACAACTGCATATATTCTTTCATAAGCCCTCGTCATGAAAAATGACTTTTAGCCTATGAAATGTCTCTAAACACTTTATCTCCATTACTTGCTGTGTGGTGCAATTGCTCTTCTTAATTACTTGCTTCTGTCTTCTTGTGCCCTCAACAGATGGTTGAACATACTTAAAATCAAGAGAATAACTGAGCTGAAAAATAATAAACGTTTTTTAGCTGAAGAAAGACTGATAGCACACTTTGTTGTATTTTTACAGATCACCGCTATTTAAACATTTGTGAGCAGTGAGTAGGTTCCATGCTCACACTGCAGTTTTGCATGTGTTCATCTCACTTGTGAAAGCAGCTGCTGCACACTCTAATCTCTTCTTTTAGTTAGGTTTATTTCCACTAAATTCTGAGCAAAAAGAGCTGACCAGCTGTGGAAGAATACAGTTTTGGGGTCCTTGACAATGGGTGGCATGTCTCAAGAGGACCGGGAAAGCATACAAAGCTATTTTTAACCTTCAGATGATAGAAGCAATGAAGGAACAGGTTGTAGCCCTGAAGAATCATCTTTCAGCTCTAAAAACAACCCTTGCAGGTGTTACTCAGCCCTGAACAGATGCTGCAACTCCAGTCATAGCTCAGGCATGACCACCTCTGTAAACACAGCCTTGTGTTACCACGCACTCTACAGAGCCTCAGAGCTATTTGAAAGATACCAGATTACTTCTGACAAAAACTATCTAATTTCTCTATGTCTTCCTATGCAGCTTCCCTTGAGAAGTACTGATCTGTCTGAAAGTTACCTGAAAGCAAAACCCGTTCCTTTTTTTTTTTTTTCCCCCCTGAGAAAAGAGGGGAGAACTTCGTAGCAAAGGCAAATTTTCCTTTTATATAAATCACAATACCTCCTGATAAGTAACCACAGCTTCACCTCAGACTGTCAGAAATCCCACTGTCCACGATAGCAAGCACGCAATGTAAATAATCATGCAAATTTTGCTCAGGCTTAAAACAACAACAAAATCAAAAATACCACAGAATCCCTTGAAGTCCAGCAGGCAAAAACTAGAGCCATAAATTCCACTGTTGCAGTGGAATGCATGGAGAACATCCCACTGCCAATGCAAAACATTTTGGAAACAATCTTCCATTTTCAGCTGTGCATTGCTCTGCCTGAAGTCAGTGCTGGCCTGCCTGTTCAGACACTTCTTTCAGGAGGGTCATGTTCAGCTGGCTGGACTTTCCTCCTGCTGCTCTTGTGTCTCTGCCCTGGCTTCTAGTTCTCATTTACTCATTTGAATAAGGGATGTGAAGTGGATGTCACTTGCTGCCATGCCAATGGCTTTAGCTCAGTACCACCCAGCCAGGCATCTTCTGCTTAATTATCTGCACTAAGTTTGGGGTGTTAGGCAGAAAAATCTAGCTTTCAGTGTGCCTTAATTTAGGTTTCCTTTGGCCCCCTCAGGTGCCTTCTGCCTTTTCTAAACGTATACGATATCATAAAGAATCCCGTTACAGAACTCCTTTTCATTTTTTTCCTCTCTCTTTGTCAATCACGATGAAGCTAGGGTTGTCTGTAAGCTTCTCTCTGCTTTCAAACACATTTTCACACTTTCCGTTTCAATTCTGTTACACGCTTGTCAATCCCATTTGCTCCTCAACGTGGATAAGACCAGACTGTCTCTGCTTAGAAACAACAGGCCTTTCTGAGAGTTATAGTATTTCCTGAATATTGTTCAGATTTCCTGCAGAGTGAATTGACTGCAGAAGGCACATAGCTATTTTTAAATCCTGTTTTTTTAATGTCCCAGTTTAAAACTCAAAAGGATTTAGAATAGATGCTCCCAACTCATCACAGTCTCTCATGTATTAGTATCTAAGGTCACCAGTAGCAGAAGATTGAAATGCTACATATTGTGAGCTGCAAGTCCAACCTCAATTTTCTTTTCCTGAATTTTAAAAAATATGAATGGTTTACATGTGTGGATCTAAAATTTTGCAGATGCAGAGCCTGAAACACTTTGATGGGAGCTAAGCTCTCCAACTATGCCATCTCCTGTAAGAAACCAGGTGCTTTTAGAGTGGGATTCATCACACAGATCATTAGGGAAGGAGTCTGTTAAGTTACCCTAAATTTTTGAGAGCGTTGGTCAAATACAAGACTAGATGATATGGTTAGCATCTATTTTAGTGAAAAAAAATGCACTACCCTTCCAGTACCTTGGCAGGCTCTCAGTCACACCCAGCAACAAATCTCTCAAGAATGCCAAAACCCAGAAAAAGACCTCCAATAGGAAAATAACACCAAATGTGCACTGACAGTATGAGCATGCAGGATTATGCTTGCACACATGAGAATGAGTGTGTGACATGATTGTGAGTACATGACAGCACAGGAGGGTGCATAGGAATGATAGTGCAGTCCAATGAGTAAACACAACTGTTGTTCTGACCAAGCAAGATGCATTGAAAAAGTGAAGGAATAGAACAAAGAATCTTTGCCGTGAGCAGACAGACCTTGGAACTGTTTTGTCAATAGATTTCATACGTCTAAGAACTCAAACAACATTGTGCCAGCATTCCCTTTTGCTAATGTGCTTGTTCTGTGGGATGCTGGAGAGCCAGAAGGCTTTGACACAACCTGGAAAAAGGGTTAATGTACCAACACAAGAGTAAGATGTCTGAAAGTTAAAGAATTTTTAATCTACTGAAGGGTGAGGTGCAGATGTTATGATGACTTACACATCATCAGATAATAGCTGACAGCTGCTTATTGCCATCATTAGAAAGAAGGCTGAACACATGAACTCTACAGGGAGCAATGGAGAAAAACACAGTGCGACTTCTTGCTGGGACCTGCAGGAAAGATGAGAAAAAAGACCATGGTGAGTCAAACTCCACAGGTTAGTGCTTGACATTAGATGTTGTGCAGATCAGCTACCCCTGCAGTGGGGATGAATTTCGAGTACGTAACAGCAAGAAGCAATGCCTCTTAACTGAAGCTGGTACTTGTGTGTTATCCCACAACAGTGGGATAAGCTGTTGAGGAGAATGCAGTGTTTGAAGTTTTTCATCTGCAAGCTTTACTCTGCTGAATCTTAGCTATTAGTCACATTAGCAGGTGAAGGGGCCCAAACTCAAAACTGTACTGATGAGAGCATGGCGCAGCTCCAGAAGAGAAGGGACTGGGCAGACAGCATGGAGAGAAGAGTCTGGTAGAAGCAGCATGCCTGAATTTTCTCCAAGCATGGCCATGAATGACATTGCAAATATTTCTCCAAGAAGTACAATGTAAAAAAAAAAAAAAAAAAAAAAAAAAAAATTAGTTTTATGCAACTGTAACCTTTTGGGTCAAAAACAGCAGGTAGTTATAGCCAAAAACAGGATGGGAAGGGGAAGGAAAAAAAGCTATGAATTCTACCTGAGAAATATCTTCTTTTACTGTCTTTTATATAAAGCATTCAACTTCACATATTGGATCAAAATTTCTTTTTGAAATTGAAATCAAAATAAAAGCATCAGAAATAGAACTGATGAAGTGAAATCACTATAAAGGAGTTTGAGTTTATTTTCCCCCTCTCCATTTTGGTAAAAGAGAACAAATACAAGTTTTCTGGGACAACCATTTTGACAGGTGAACTAAATTCCATTTTCCCCAACATCTCTCCACTGGCTCTGCCAATCTATTAACACTTCTCAAGTCCAAGAATTTTAGGAGCTGAAATAACCTGGCAAGTTTTGAATTAGAGGCACCAGAGTGATGATCTTAGACAAGGCCAGATCTCTTTGTTTACAGTAAGAATAGTTAACTAGATTCTGCGTGTACATATAAAAGCATTTATTCAATTTCTCTACTTAAATTACTTCATTACACTGCCAGGTAGCATAAATGGTGAAAGTCAGGTCTTTCTCTTCCCAAAGGGGAGCCTGTGTTGGTTTCAGATCAAGCAATTTGAGGGAGAACTCCAGAGACAGAAGAAATGCCCCAAAATAACCCCTGAGGAAGTCCTTCAGGAACGTCAGGATACCTGTTTGTATTTTAGAGATAATCACTATTTCACCCAAGCATGAAAGTATCAGCTGTTTGCCAGACATACTACACGTTGCAAACTACCCATCTACTCTGTTATCAAACACAGTTTGTTCAGGCACCGGAAGAGCTCTTCCAGTTGGCCTCAAATCAATGTCTGGACAATTCTTACGATGACATGACAAAGTTCCTGGGGCTCTAACTCACTAGGATGTCACCGGAGCAGAAATACATTTCTAGCAGTTTTGTTCCTGAACACCACTGTCTACCTACTTAAATGTCCAGAATATTGAATATTTAGCTACAAACTGTGATAGTGCAGTCCACCCAGTATATTAATTCTGCCTTCTCAGCTTTGGACTAGGTTTTCCTGTGTGACCTTCAGCAAACCACTCAATCTCTGCATAATTTATTTTCCTACATGTAAAGCAGAAAAAAATTTTACTCCAATTTCCCCTTATTTTGCTTCTCCACTAGCAGATGTTTGGGAGCAAGGACTGTCCTTCAGATATTTACGCCTTGCCTTATGTAGACCTAAATCATAAACACAGCATAAAGGAAACCTTACTTTTATTCAGGAAGTATATTTCTCCTGAGTGTTGTGTCATATACATTAGACTTTCTTCAAGGTCAAGATTTTGTTTGATGCTTGTCATGAGCAAACAAAGCAAACAAAGAGAAAACATGTCCCAAAAAAAAATCTGCCGAGACTTCTGTATAAATGTTGCCATTTACTCCCTGAGTTGGCTATGGATTTCCTTTATTTAATCTTTTACAACTATCTAAACAAAAAGATGAATCCAGCTGCCTCAACATTTTCTAAATGAAAAAGTCAAAATGTGGTAGAAATCACTGGGTCCGGTCAATGTTAGTTCCAAGAGACTGAATCTTACATGAGGCCTGCAAATTACGAAACAAGCAGATGAAATGCCAATACAGATTATTCTTCCTAGCAAGAATCACAGTTTTAAGATCATCTGCTCCTTTCTGCTGCACCAACAAATGATACAAATGCAGAAAACAAATGATACAGTTGGACTACAGAGGAATTACAAATGATGGTTGAAATGAACAATTACTGGTTTACATAGCAGGGGCCAAGGCTATCAAACTACTTACCCAATGCTAGAGAATTAGCCTGTACCAGAGCCAGGACTTGAACTCTGCCTTTCAATATCATCATGCAGATATTTGGCTCTTCTTCCTTCAGTAGATTGTATATTTTGTAATGTCACAACCATTATAAAATTGGAGGGGATGGGAATCAATGGAAAAAAAAAAAGCTAAATATGCCAGGATGAATAGCATTTCTTCCAGTGAACATTGGCTATTCTTTCTGAGATATGAATTTTAAAAAAATTGAGTATGGGAAAAGGTAAATGGATTCTTAGCAAAGTATAATTACAGTATCTCATGCAGAAGTCAAGGAAAAAAGGTACAGCTATCAGAGAAAAGAAGTTTGTTTCTTCTTTTCTCAAAAAGAGATCAAACAATTTTCTGGTGTAGCCCTTTTCCTGACTTCTCCCTCTCCCTAGCAGGAACACCAGGTCACCCTGCAATCAATAACCATTGCCCCTTGAACACAACAGTCCTCTCCTGTCACTGTTCCTCAGTTGCCCAGCAGTGGTCAGTAGCCCTACTGCAGTTCCCCTCAGGGTTACTTGTTCTCCCTGAAAAACAACAGTGTACTTGAAAGTACGCTGTACTATGTATTTTGTATAATTAGAAGTGCAATGCAACAATTAAAAGCAACCTGAAGGATGGCTTAAAATAGCAGGAACAATAGACATTTGTGGCCCTTTTTCATGTTAGGAGATGCATAAAGAAGGTACTAAAAAAGAACAAGAGCTGATGTAGCGCAGCAGAGATTTAGTAAAATCAGTAAAATGAAGCCAAATGGGACTGTCTGAGAAACAAGTCCTCTTCCAGTGACTTTTTTTTTTTTTTTTTTTTGGTCTTGTTAGTTTGCTTGTAAAAACAACTGCAATAGAAGTAGTAAAATATAACCCACATACTGGTCAGCTACTCAGAATCTAATACAGACTTTCCATAAACGACTGGAAAGCGTTCCGCATACAGCAGAACTCAGCATTGCCATGGAAACAATTACAATTCAAAGAACAAAATGCAATTGATATCAAGCCATTCAGAATGCATTTAAAACTTGTTATGCACTTAAAGTACAAGGAAATTAGTTTGCTAATTAACACAGTGTTCCCAACCATTGTGATTTCTTTCTTTAATGGTGAGGGTGGTATTTGCTGCCTTGCTTTCTTTCCTAATGCTCCTTCCAAACACACTTAGCTTAAATACAATATTTCAGCATTTGTTTCAAGCCACATAATAAGAGCTCAAACTGAAACTAGTCTTTATCTTTTTTTTTTTTTTTTTTTTTTTTTTTTAAAGCCAATGCCTCCAATAGATCCTTTTTAATCTTCTCTAACGTCTCTAATGTAATGAATCCCATATATAATGACATTATAATGGTTAGAAAGTGCTTAGGTAAGCCCTCCAAAAAGAAATAGACTTTAAACTCTTCAAACAAAAAGCCTAAACAACAACAAAAGCCCCTTCAATAAAACCACCTTTTAATTAACTGTTGCACTCAGATCACTGTTATATTATGAAATAGGATTTCTAATATCACAGCCCTTGTTTTGCATGAGGTCAGTCACCAGTTTTCTCAGATTTACAGGAGAATAGTTGTCTAATGAAGCCAAATGATACCCAGCACTTGGAAATGCAATGCTAGTTGCATGTCAGTAGAAAAAAATATATAGATCTTCTTACAATTTTGTCATTACAGTTTTAGCATAAGTTTCCAGAAGTGACAGGATACTACTAGAAGAGATTAACCAGGCCCAAGCACCAGGGATCTCCAAGAGAAAAGATATTATATTGGAAAATTCCCTTATAGCCAGTAAAAATGTTTCAGGCAGTGTAAATTTGGGAACATCTGTAGCTCTAATGATCTTGATTCATATCACTTTGCTTTATGCATTTAATCAAGATGCCAAAAAAGGACATGCTGTTCTAATCACTGGACAGCGATGAAACTCCAGAGAAAATTTCAGACCTCAGATGGGCTCATTTCCTCTCTGGAATTTATTTTACTATATTCTATGCTACAATCCCAAATATTACATTATAATATTGTCTTTCCTTTATTTTATACAAAACTGAGGCACTAAAACATGCTGTGGCATGACTTTGTATCCAGCAGATAAAAGAATCATAGATTTCAGAATCTCTCAACCTAATGTCTTCTATAGGAATGTTAGATCTGCTACTGCTCATTCACAGGCAGAAATACTGACTTTGGTACCAGCCAAAATGGAACTATGTTTATTTCTGTTGGTTCAAGCTACAATTCCCGTGTAGAATCTGCAGCAGGTTTTTTCATCTCTTTGCAAAACAACTGCTCTGCAACTGCCTTTTCTCTTTCTTTCTTTCTCCTCTCAGTGCTGCTGTCTGGGCATAAAACATTCCCAAACTTCTCACATTCATTCATCCACCAGTAAGCTTGAGACAGCTGTATTAGCAGTACTGTCAATAAACAGCATAGTTAGGGAGAAGCAGCACACTTCAATCCTAAATATTGTAGACAATCTGCAAGGATACCATGTCTCCTGGATAAAATGGTGATCCAACCCCCATTTTCACTGAAAAAAAAAAAACATAACACAGCCCAGTGTTGCCACACATAGCCAAAAACACCAGTGGCAGCTTTCAGGTGAGCAACAGGCCCTGAAGCGTGGCTGAAGTTGAACAAAACTCTTAGGTTCACAACAGTCCTAATACTAAAAAAACAGAAAAGCAAACTAAATG